GGTGTTCAGAAGGTGACAGTGAGTGTTTAGGAGCAGTGATGGACAGGTGTGTGATGACCCTGGGCACTCTAGTTAAGCAGTCTGTGTCAGGTGGGCTGTGGGCCTCCCCTAGGTGAGCAAAGGGGCCTTACAAGCCCTGCTAATGCTTTATGTTCACTTTGCTACCTGTGCCCCACAAACAGTAGCAGCTCCTGGGTTGGTTTCTTTCATGAAAACAGCTACATTTGCCTATGATCTGGGTGCTGATGATGGTTTCAAGATGAGCATCACAGCCCTGCTTGCTTCTGTTTTTGGAGGAAGGATAAGCGTGGACACCTAGCCTTGTGGAGCCTCTCTGCCTTGGTTTTGGGTCGAGCTCCGCTGTTGAGGTGCAGAATCATGCACATGAGCCCTTCCTGTGAATCATGTGCCCACCGGGCTGGGTTAGTTCATCATGCAGAGTCAGCGTGGCCCTCACAGGGACACAGGAACTACTGCTGGGCTTGGGCTTGGTTTGGAGTTCGGAGTAGGGGCCTCATCCATCTTTGGCTCCATACTTCTCCCCTGGTGCACACTGAAATTTCTCTGTCCTGTCTTATGCTTGCTTTGATTGTGTCTATTGAAGCATAATTATTTTGTAGTTTGAGACAGAATCACTCTGTTGCCCAGGCTGGCTCACTGTAGCCTCTAACTCCTAAGCTCTAGTGATCCTCCTGCCTCAGCCTCCCAAGTTGCTGAGACTGTAGGTGTGCGCCATCCCAGCTAATTTTTTTTTTTTTGAGACAGAGCCTCAAGTTATTGCCCTGGGTAGAGTGCTGTGGCATCACAGCTCACAGCAACCTCCAACTCCTGGGCTTAAGTGATTCTCTCTCTCTCTTTTTTTTTTTTTTGTAGTTTTTGGTCGGGGCTGGGTTTGAACCTGCCACCTCCGACATGTGGGGCTGGCGCCTTACTCCTTTGAGCCACAGGTGCTGACCCTTAAGTGATTCTCTTGCCTCAGCCTCCCAAGTAGCTGGGACTATAGGCGCCTGCCACAACACCTGGCTATTTTTTTTTGGTTGTATCATTGTTGTTTGGGAGGCCTGGGCTGGATTCAAACCTGCGAGCTCTGGTGTATGTGGCTGGTGCCTTAGCCACTTGAGCTACAGGCACCATGCCACGCTAGCTAATTTTCAAAAATTATTTGTAGAGACGAGGTCTCACTGTGTTGCCTAGGCTGGTCTTAAGCTGTTCTTCCTCATCAGCTTCTTAAAGTACTGGGACTACAGGTGTGAGCCACCACAACTGGCCCTATTGAAATATAATTTTAATGTCTAAATCTAATAATAAAACTGTGGCACTTTTATTTATTATGTATCTTGGGATTTGTTTCAGCTTATTTTTTAGTAATTCAATTTTATTGTGTTCAATGAAAGTGTCAAATGGGAAATACAATTGATCATCCTCTCCACAGATGGCTTGCAGGACTGGATTTGGGCTCTCATGGGGCCTGAGAGGGAGAGTGAGCTACCATGTGGAGCCACTTTCTTGGTGCTGGGGCATAGTCTTCTGTCCTGGCCTTGCTTGCTCAGCAGGGAACACCCAGGGTTGCCTGGCGGTGGCTGCTGAAAGTGTGCACCAGGTTTATTGGGACAGAGCTGATGGGTCAGCCTGTAGTGTCCCTAGAACTAGAGTTCTCTCTTTAAAGCAATGAGATTCACAACTTTGCTTGGGTTAGAGGACATCCAGACTGCAGGGTCAGGGTGGTGAATGCTGCTGGCTCTCAGCTTCAGCTCCTTCCTATGTGGCCCCTCACATTGCTTTCCAGAGAGCATCTGTGTATACATGAGATTTGTTTACCCCTGTTTTGTTTTGGTTTTGAGTTTTCATTTTGAAATAATTGTAGACAAATACAGAATTGTTGTAAAGGTGCTTCCCTGGTGATCATGTCTTGTGGAGCTGTGGAGCCTTGTGCAGGCTCAGCCTCTGGGTTTTTCCCCTTGGACTTGGGGGACAGTTCTTTTCTGTGGCCTGTCAGCTGCCCTGTGCTTCATGCTGTGTGGGAGCCAAGTCACTGCGGCTATGGAGTGGGAGGTGGGACCTGTACCAGCCCTGGTATAGGTCTCGGTGCAGCTGAGCATTCAGGGAGTGAAAGTCTTCTCACAATGACCTTTCCACCTGGCTGTGTGAGACCTTGGTGCCTTTGCAAAGCCCACTTGCATGTTCTACCCTGCAGAGATTCTCCTCATGGGTTCACACCCAGGAAGAATGATGAGGCAGTGACACTGGGAGTGGTACCATCGGGGAGTGCACGGCCTTGGGGATGGGATCTGGTTGTATTTGTGTTTTATCTACTTTTGTTGGGTCTTTAGATGTTGTGATGAGCCTGTTGTGTGCCAGGCACTGTGTGAAGTGCTATCTGTTGTGACTTCCTTATCCACTTGATGTTGAAGGAGGAAAAGAGGAATCCCCCACACCTCTCCACTCATGCCTCTCCCCCACAGGCCTCCCACATACCTCCCTACACCTTGCCCCCACATCACCTCCTCATCTTCCCCTTCCTCCCCTCCCACACACCGAGCAAGTCCTAAGTCCTTGGGAGAAATCATCCCTGACGGCAGGTGGTATGGGTGACGGTGTGCCATGTAGAGCCGCCAGAGTAGATGCCACTCCATTCAGCAGCACCCAGTCCAGGAGAGCAGGAGCTGTTGGTGCCTGTCCAAGCTGTGCGTGAGCTTGGCACTTGCTGGGGCCCTCTTCTACCTCCTGTTGTGCTGTGGTGGGTTAGTGTGTATTGTCTGACAGCTTCCCTGCCCTCTTTGGTCCTGGAAGACTCATCTGCTCGCCTGCACAGGGAGTAGATGGGAGCGTTAGCTAAGTGTGTGGCACATGTGGCTCGTCTAAGTGTAGCTGCCCTGTATCGGTGAGACTAGAGGTGTGGATGGGAATATGTATGTGCCATGTGCTGCCACCATGGTGGGTTCACATTGTCCTCAAGGGACATATGGGTGGAGGGCAGCCTGGCGGGGGACACTGAACGAGGAATGGCAGCTAGGAGACAAGCACAGCACTGCCTTGCCACCAGGCTTAAGTCCCACTTTCAGGAAGAAAAGCGAGTCTTTGGTGAAGAGACCTGCTGTTCGGCTTTTTCCGTGGCTGTTTAGGCCCATGTCTGCTGTTTCCTGCTGTTTGCTCCCCTGCAGGCCCACCCTCCCCCTGGGCCTCACTGCTAAGTGTAGTGGCTGGTGCAGGATCAGTGCCTATTCAGTGTGGGTAGAGCTGACAATGCCCAGAGGGGTTCTCTGTCATGCTTGTTTGGGCACTGCCAGGACAGCATCATTGGAAGCAGCTCTGTGACTGAGGGGTGGTCATGGTGCCAGCCATCTGCACGACCGTGGTTGTGCCTCACAGACAGTTTCTCTGCGCAGATGTAGCCTGCCTGGTCTGTGTGTTCAACCCGGGAGCACGGCACATAGGTGGAGAACTTGAGCAGCACCTCTCTGTAAGATAGAAAAGTAACATTGACTTCAGGAGTATTCTTTTTATGCATTTATTATTTTCGTGTTTTTCTACAGAGGAGGGATTGTTTTTGTAATTGAGGTAAAGAAAGTGTTCTCTCAGGGGCAGCACCTGTGGCTGAAAGGAGTAGGGCCCTGGCCCCATATGCTCAAACCTAGCCCTGGCCAAAAACTGCAAAAAAAAAAAAAAAAGTGTTGGGTGGTACCTGTGGCTGAAAGGAGTAGGGTGCCGGCCCCACATGCC